ACAAAAGATGGTAGCAATGGGTAGCATGGGGTAGCATGGTGTAGACACGGTAGACGAAAGTACAGAAGATGGTAGCAATGCGTAGCATGGGGTAGCATGGGTCGTATGGTATATACAAGAGAGGAGCAAGATATAATATATTTCGCCGAAAGCAAATGGAGCCTCTACCCCAATATACCGGGTGAGGCAAAAAATCGCGCTGCTCTTTGAGAGTCTTTTCATGAGTCTTTCTAAGTTCATGAGATAGCAGATAGCATGGCAAATATATATTTTTTTACTTGCAACAACTTCTACATCTCCGTTAAAAGTCCTAAAATTCTTGTCCTTTTCTCCAGCCGTTTTAGCACAGGAACGACGACGCAAAGGCAACTGAATTTTTTTTTTGCGCTAGGAAACATCGGCGGAAGAGCAGTTGGTACGCGTGGAGCGCACTAATTTCGAGCCAGAGCTCCTCCGTCTGACCATGGAAATGTTGATCTTTGCGAAAGGTTGGGGTGGGACAAATTATTTTGCCAGAATTTCCTGGTCAAGGATGAAAGAAGGCTAGGCCTATGATCGATTCACAAGCTGCGAGAAACCGGTTTATCTGATAAGCGAAGGAGCTGAGGACTAAAACGATCCGGAACTGAAGGAAGCTGCGTTCACGTGGAACGATTCATTGTTTCTCGAGGTGATGATCCTGGGATGCGAAATCCCTCTCAGCAAATCGCCAGACGCATTAAGAACGAGTCAGATATCTGCTTAGCGGATTCTGAAGCACAGAGGAAAAAAAAAAAGTTTCATTAAAACGAATCCTCATGAGTGGGGCAGGTCCTCCCGTCAGCGTCCAGGTGCGAAAGCGAAAATAAACTTCCAGTTGCCTTTGTAAAATCACTTGTGTGCTAAAACGGCTACAAATAAACGGGCAAAAAAAATTCGGATGTTCAAAAGGTGCATAGAGGTGTGTTTGAAAGGAACCTCTTCGTTCTAGTTGCTGTTTCAGAGACGCCACAAAATTTCTAAGAACTGAACCCTTTTTTTTTGCCTCACCCAATATATATTTTTTCGTTTCCGAGACTCGAAATATCCGGCCGGTCGAAATCGATTCTACGATGAAGCGGGTTTCACTCGCGTCGCAGGGACGAGGTCGAAAAAGGAAAGAAGCTAACCCCTCTCGAAACGTCTCAGCATTCAAGGACGCTCCTTATCTCCCGGGAAATCAAGAATAATCAAGATGAGCCGTCGACCCCAGACGAAGGGACCTTCGTGCTTTTGTTTGCTTTTTCGAGCCGTCACTCCCAACAAAAGCGGAATCGCTCGGTTTACCATTATTATTTAATTATGCATCAATGAGTTGGTTCTTGCGTCACATCCGATCGCCCCAAGGGGAAAAGAGCATCGCGATCCAAGGAATCCGAAAGGGTTTCAGTTATTCTCAAGGCGTCACGAGGAGATAATCCAGAGAATGTGAAAACGCGTTTTTTATTTCAAGCCAAATTATCGATCGATCGCGAGCATCCTCCCGAGATGCCTCCAGACTCCAGGGATCCGTGCAACATTCATTCCACGGATTCAACCCTGGCCGAGTTCTATACGGCTCCATGAAGGCGAGTTAACAGAGAGAAAAGAGAAAACGGACAGATGAGCAGATCCTTTTTCAGCACGAGTGAAACCAATCGAGGAGAGGGAATGACACGTCACGAATGACGTCATGTCCGTTCTCGTCCTCGAAGGTCACGCGGAGTTTAATTAGTACGCTCCTGGTACTTACACGAGAAATGGATAGCAAGCAAGACCGAAGGACGAGCGGGGGCGTTTCCTCCTTGCAATCCAAGTCACTCTAGGGGCTAAAGCATTGGGTATCATTAGGAGAGTAGATGCAGTTTTTACTGCATGACGTGGGTCCCCGGGGACCCAGAAAGTTTCCAGGCAATAAAACATTGCCATCAACGCTAAAGTCAATCGAAGCCCTCTATTTGAAATAAGAACTTCATTTGCTGATTTCAATTTGGGTGTAGGGGTCTTGGGTTTCACGAAGTCTCATCGAGGATCTCTTTGGCCCCAAATCAAGCAATTGAATGTCCATCTGAAATTAAAATCCCTTTTTGCAGAACGGTACTGAACGTCTGTACAGGTGAATATGGAGAGTGGCTGCTCTTAACGATCACCAAGAAGGGTGAAAAGTCTGCTTTCATCTCATAGAGGCTCCTGCATTGTTTGCAGTAAGGCAGGGCCGCCCAGAGGTTTCCAGGGGCCCGGGGCAAAACTAAACCGGAGACCCCTTGATACAAGGGGCCCGGGGCAGATTGCCCCAATTGCCCCACCCCCCTCTGGGCAGCCCTGCAGTACGGTCCCAAAATCGTGTTTTAAATCACAACCAGTCTTGCATCATCCTAACACATCCCTGGTGTGAAGAATGCTCTCATCCAGCAGGAAAATCACAAACCGTGCCTGCATAAGAATTGTTTATTTCATCACACTGATGCAAAAACTTCCTTCTTTTATGTTTTCACAATTTAGTATATGATGATCCTGGCAAGTTAGACTCACTGATACATAGCCTGACAAAAGTAGCATAAAAGCCTACAGTACAATACATAAAAAACACAAAAATCACCAATATGACTTATTTCAAGAATGGAAGAATGCAAATCACACAATGAATTTCACTGAAGCTTCCCTTTGAGAAAATGAGTCTTCTATTCTGATTGAGAACAACTGCAAGTGGCCACAATGAAAAAAACGCTAAAAACCTGAGATTAGGTACTGGGAGGGAGGGAACAGAAAGAGCCATATCCACATAACAAACATTGAGCAAAATCCATCAATGTGGAATAAGCACATGATGAAAAATATTCAAATGACATAGATCACACTGTAGTCTGGTGATGATAAAAGAATCAGAGCCAAACGCTGGACTTGAAGCTGAGGAGCAGCACATCTTCCTGTTTTTGAACAAGTGGCAACTTGGTCAAACACAGCATCAGAACAAAAGGGTCAGGCTCTCAGAGTAGCCAAAAGCATGCCTTTACACAGGAGACAATCTCCCAAATATTAGACTGTGCAAATAAATAATATCAAAGCTCACTCTTGGAAGAGGCAGATTTGGAATTCAGAAATTAATTTAATTAGCTGTTTGTGATTCACCAAGAGTCTTCAAAATGCTTTTGCTGAAAAGCAAAATCGAGTAGGGGAAGCCCTGGAAGGCACATGTGTACCAAGCACCCAACTGTGATATGCTGGCCGATCTCCAGGATCTCATGCATGGCAGTAAGGGACCCAATCACGTGTATCACATGGAAGGTGGAAGAGGTTAGTGGACCAGAGGACTAAAGCAGAGGATTGATTCCTCTTCTTTGGGAGACATAAGGAACGAAGAGTCTTTTATGAAGTTTTCTTCTCACTGGCAGAAACAACACACCCACCAAGAGTCCTTGTTACTGAGGAAGACACAGTTCAACAACAAAAGGTAATTTGGCACCATTTTGAGTAGGATGAAGGACACCAAAGGGTTAGAAATACTGTGTCCAAAAACTTCAAGTCCAAATTTACCCTCTTACAAATAATGAATGACTAGATAATTTTTTAACCCCTCAAGCCAGTATCCCAAGTCTGTACTTGCAGCCTCGTGCATTAGTCAGCAACAGTAGCATTACCAGCTTGAGGGGTTAAAAGGACAACATCTGTATCAATGCAAGGCAACCATGAGAGCAAATGCAAGAAGACATGCCTATCAAGACAGGACACTACCTGCACTGATCAAATGTTGTACCCTATTAACCTGGGATTTTGGCAGCATGATTTAAAATGAGATGCAATGACCTGGTGGTTTAACCCAGGGTAAGCCTGCATACTGGCAAAAGTGTGGTTTGCTTTCATGACTGAAAACATTCACGACAGGCTTTTACAGGGAAATCTGAAAATGTTTGCATCAATATGCCGTTTTACATGCCTTGTTACAAAGTTTAAAAATCCAGCAAACATCATTTATGCCAGCATGCAGCAAATTCAGAGTTATACAGGACCATATGCATGACCACACAGAATATCTGGCTGATGTGAACATACCTCCAAGGAAGCAAATCCCCTATGCTTTTACAGAGGGATACTCCATATCTTGGTGTTGCTATCCTGTCCCACAGATATGAGGGTTGTGTTGTCGATCCATGTCAACTTGGTGATCTGGCTCATTGGATGTGCATCTGTGAAATTGGAGAAGAGGGGCTTGACTGAAAGATCTGCCAACACAGTTGCTACTGTAATGCGTGCAAGGACTTACTCTTGATCTCAATATGTCTTGAAGGGTTATCCATGTTCCAAATCATGATGAAGGTATCAAGACTACCACTGGCTAGACGCCTGGAGTTTGGACTCCAAGCAATGGTGTTCACTTTGGCAGTGTGGAAGCCCCATTCCTGACGGTGTGCCAGCTTTTTTAAGTGAAAAAGGGAGAAAAGAATCACATTCATTAGAATCCTCTCTAATCAAGCAGGTGAAGAGACAGACCAAAGAGCGAATCAAAACGACACTATCCTGCCATACCTCATAACCAGGGAGGGCATAAACAACAATTTTCCGATGGGCATCACAGGCAGCTAGATACTGCCCATCAGAGGAGTACATGACATCTGTCACAGCTCCATGATGTTCCAACTCCTGCTTGAGGCTCAAACTATTACCAGCCAAGGAATACACATGCACCTAAAACAGGAGTATTCCAAGCAAGAACAAAGGTCAGAAAAGGATGGCAGATGCTGCAAACTGAAGGAAAAACAGACTTGCTTTCTGATCTGCTGTTCCACCCACAGCAACATCACCATTCTGTGAGTTGATAGAGCAGGAAGATGGTTCATAGTTCACTGGCAAGGAGCTCACCTTTGTCCCATCTTTCACCACTACCACCTGAAGTTGACATTCTTTGAACAATCCCAATTTGTGCAAAAATGGTCTAGTCATATGCAACCTGGCACATAGTCCCACCTGATTCACACATGCAACAATGATGGTGCCATCCTCCCCAACTGATAGACCATGGGGTTGAGATCCCAGTCGAACTTCCACACCAGAATAAGCCCTTGATGTGTGACTGATTGCTCTCAAAGCATCATCAATCCCACAAGAATAAACAGTTTCACCAAGAGCTATCATTCCATTGATCTGGTTCCCATGTCCCTGGCCTGCCACACGATCATTCTCACCTACAAGGCAATAAATAAATTATAGTATCACAGCAAAAACAATAGATATATATAGGGTGACCAAAAAGTCATGACCCATTTGTTTTGCTGAATAATCACATTTGGTGAAAAGTTACAAATTTGAATTTTTTGCAGTTGTTCTTGGAAGGTTGGGAGATTAGTTTGAACCATGCATAAGTGGACAACAGAACATCATGCAGTAATAGCAGAACAGTATTTCTGTAACAGGAAATCATTGGTTGATGCTCAATGTGCCTTCAAAAAGCAGTTTGGTGTGTATGAGTGTCCTTCACTGAAGTCTTTGTTATGCAACCACTGATTCCCTGTTATAGAAATACACTGATCTCCCAATCTTCCAGGACCAGCAGCAAAAAATTAAATTTGTAATTCTTCACAAAATGTGATCATCCAGCAAAACAAATGGGTCATGACTTTATGGTCACCCCATAGAAACAAACAAAATATGGTTACTGCAATACCTGAAGCAACGTCCCAGTGAGTAACAAAGCCATCATGAGATCCTGTATAAATAGTAGAGCGATCAGAAGAGAGTGTCATGGCAGTCATGGGCTTATTGTGACCCTGAAAGGAACAGAAATATTCCATTTGAATGCTGAGGAAAATGATGAATGCTTATGCAAATGGTGATAAGAAACAGCACACCCACCTTGATTATTCGTATGGGCTTCTCAGGGTTATTGGTGTCCAAGTAGTTTATGAAACCACTCAAAGACACTGACAGAAGGAACTGGCCTTGCCACAAGCATGAGACCTGGAATGTTAAGATGAATGCATAATGCAATACAACCCATACAGATAACTTGATAACTAAAACCTAAAATCATTCTGTAAAAAAAAATGCACTCAATGGATCACTAAATTTAATTAAACAGCTGGCACTATCTAGTCAAAATAGGCATAACACAAAAAAGAACATTAACTTACGGCAGGTAACAAAATATTGATGAAACGCATCTCAGACAGCTAAGAGTATTTTCACAGAAAGTCTGCCTTCACATTGGGTAAAACCATTGTGCTCAGAAAGTTAAGCTGGGGGAGTGTTCTAACTTGCTTGTCATGTCTAAATTGTACAAGCTGGATGTCTCATTTTCTGGTGTCTGGGAGCATGATATGAGTAGATATGGGGGTGATACAGGTGTTGTCCTTCAAAGACTAATAGCATCAAATAGTGCCTATTGTGTGGATGTCCAAACTTAGATGCAAAATAACTTGTTTGAACACAACTTTGTTTGGACACACTGGAAGTAAGGCAAAAATCTGCTCATAGCATGTGGATTCCTTGTAGCAATACTCTACATTGCTCTAGTTACCTGAAGAATAAGAATTTAGCACAAAAAATCAACAATACCATGCACAACATGTTTCTAAAGTAAAGTTGGCTCTGTGGGTTTTCTCTGATGAAGCAAATACTTTGACCCAATATTTTGAAATCATGCAGAAACAATCATGGCAATTGCATGTCATTTGCTGTCACATGTTCATCTTGCAAGAAAGAACTCTTTCTGAGGGTGGTCTTGTCAATGCTTATTCTCTAACAATGTATGTTAAAGTGTCTGTAATAGGTACTACATAAACTTAGATGGTTTTGCCCTAAATGCTATACAGAAGGGAGCAAAAACCTGCTGATCATCCACAGCATTTCCCATGGGGAACTCAGAGATGCAGGTCCCTGTTGAGACATCCCACAACCTGGCAGTCTTGTCTCCAGAGGAGGTCAGCAGCCTTTGTCCATCTGGACCCCAGGCAACCTAGCAAACAAAAGGGAATGCATGCCATGTTAGCAGCCTGATGACATGAGAGGCTCAAGATACACAGAGGCAAGAAGAGACACTTCATAATTGCTGATCCAGAGGTCTCATTATACAAGTCTTCTGGATCAGCATTGGCATTAACACCCAATCTCAGGCTGAGTCAGGAAAAATTCCTTGTTTTGTATAGCTGAGATGAACAACCACATCGGGAACTTGTTTTATTTCAATTCAGAATATGCCAAAGAGTAGCTATGGATTTACTCATTACTATGGTCTTTTCCTAGTCAAAACCGCCCAATAGTTCAGGAGATTGAAGAGATGGAAGCCAGAAAAGGTTAGTGCTTGGTCATGGATGTGGTAGTATTGTATCATAGAGTTACACAAAATTCATTTGTAATAATGATGAAAACTCAACTCATGACACTTTTCCATGAACTTTCCCTCTCATCTCTTGTGTTATGGGGACTAATACTACAACACATGAGTGGGTTTTGTGGGGAGTTTCTCCCTCCCTCTCCTTGCAAAGAAATAAAAAAAAAATATATCCAAGATGACTTAGAAGTCATTCATAAGCAATGACTCTTTTGATTCCTGAAAAGAAGCCAAATATTTTGACATATACCACTATAGAATGGCCTGGGTTTTGAGTCAACTATCTATCCTGGTCTGATCTAGTTTGAGATTGGGTATTAAAATGGCAATTATTGTGACTCATGTTACACATGGAAATCCATTCATCCATGACATCACAGCAGTAACAGAGTTAGGTAACTGAGGATGACTCTTTGGATAGGAAGCATCATGTGTTTCATCCCCCAGATTTTCAGCTCTTGCCTAAATAACACCTTTAAAAAAGCATTTACAGATAAGAGTTGATATATAGCCATATTGGCTGCCTCAAATTTAGATTGGCAATGTTGCATGACATTACAGCCATGATCAAAAACAGTAAATTGTATGTTGTAGGATGCACTCTATGGCAACATCAACTTCCTCTTTTGTTTTAAACTGTTGATGTTTTCCTTTTCACATGGAATGATAAATGTCACATTTTCTGAGCCTACATTATAGTATACTATGTTCAAAATAAGTTCATGCCTGTTCTTTCTATTTTCAGTTTAATAATGATAAATTATATCTAAATTTAAAGCACTTGCTTTTCTAGTTTCTTGAGTGCCTTGTACTCAATCACAAGGAACTTTTCCAGTTAAAAATGCCTGCGGGTATTTTAGGAGTTTATGTACTATTAGCCATATCCCTTACCTTTGACCTAAATGCCAGGGAAGTAATGGCTATACCTCATAAAAAAATTAAGCAGGTTTCTTTTGATCGGAGATAGCATCCTTTTATTGTAATGTGAGTCACAAGTACCTTACCTTCATTTTTTCACACTTAGATATACTGAGAAAGTGCACATTGCACAGTGCACAAAAGTTCAATGCCTACTACTTGATATTTCCAGGTAAGATCCAAAATTGAAAATTCAGAATGCATAGTGCAACTAATTTCTGAAATTTGTTTGAAAATGTAACATGAGTCATGATGGAATGTCCCATACATTACTTTGCAATACTCTGCATTTAATATCTCTACATCTCTCTAAAATGGAGAGGACAATCTTGAATCTGAAAAACTTACAGGTAGGCAAGCTATAGCTAGAACTTTGAAAGAGCCCCACTTATACCATGTGAGAATGTGTACAAGGAAATACATGCATATTGCATAGTTCATCCAAAAAAAAAAACCAAATGCAGCTAGCTATTCAAAATGGCTTCCAATTTTTTTTCCATACCAATCAGTTTTTGCTTTAGGCTCATATATTAAAAATCCATGATTTGATGCTCACCCCATAGACACCACCCTTATGAGCAGGGCTACCAATCTCAGTGATGAGATCTGAGGTCTTTCCATCATATAGGAAAACTTTCCCATCAAAGCCACCACTTGCAAGTTGCTCTCCATTTGGAGAATACCGCACAGCTTGAACATAGCGGGTGTGATCCTGGAATGGCAAAGAAAAGGAATTGTTTCAAAAAGAGATATTCAACACTTACAAACAACCTGCTTAGAGAGTCAACTATTAATCTGAACCTGTTTGGTCATCTTGAACTTGAATGGAGGACCTTCAAAAATTCCAATGCAGTTGTCCTCACTTCCAGTTGCAATGCGAAATGGCCGGGATGGCTTGAAGTCACAAGAGTTTATTGGTCTTCCATGCCCAGATATCTCTCCCACAGAAGTTCCAGTGTCTGCCATGAAGACATGGCCATACCTATAAATATATATAGATGGGAATACATGAACCATCAAGAACTAACAGCCATTTGATAGCATTGACATTATGCATAATGCTGCCCTCTTTCACTCATATTGGGTAAATCCAAAAACACATCTTGCTCCAAAAAGTAGTTCTCTGGAAAAGACAGCTCATGGGTGCAAGTTCCAAAGCATTTAGGTCAGGGGTTCTTAACCTGGGATCCATGGACCCCCTGGGGGTCTGTGGATGTGGGTCTTGTGGATCTAGGGGGTCCATAGGTGCAAAAAGGTTAAGAACCCCTGATTTAGGTGATGGCATCATTCAGTTACATTCTCCAAGCAACATATTTATCATTACAGAAGTCTTACAATGAGAGCATAACACCCAAATATCAACAGTCTAGAACCATTATATGAGCAAGGCAAGTCAAAAAGGTGCTTCTTCTTTTGTAGGCTAATTGGTAAGGGAACTATCTGGCAATAATGATTCCCCTGTTGTATTTTGAGAACCTTAACAGTCTCTTGGGACACTGAGGATGATGGTTATGCACCTGCATGGATCAAAGGGAAATGACAAGAAGCATACCTCTCTCTGCCTTCCCCAACAGCCACTAGCCTCTGACTATCAGGACTCCATGCAATATCCTTGATTGTCCCAGCAAATGGCTGATACTCAGCCTTTAGAATATGCTCCTTGTTGACTGTATCCCAAATTCTTACTTTTCCTGTCACATCTGCAAGAAGACAGAGCTCTCAATAGTGATGAGATATCAAATAACAATAAAACCAAGAAATTCAGATAAACTAGACTGCATGGAAATCATAAGGATATGAATGTCTCAAAATGGAAACCATTACAGCCAGGGGGAAATGAATGGCTTAAAAACAGAACTGAAGAACTGTACAGGGTGACTCAAAAGTCCTTGGATGTGATTGAAATGACAGGGAGGTTTGAATCAATCCCCACAATTTTTTTTCCATTCAAGCATGAGGCACCACTCTCTACTCCCTCCAAGTTTGACCTGGATTGCTCTTCATACTAGGATGCAGGAGGCCTGAGATGCAATAATTTTTCACCACAAAAACAGATATTCGGCAAAGCAGATTATGAAGCTGCTGAAAGTGCCACAATCCATGGTTTGCAACACCATCAAGTGCTACAAGGAGCTTGGAACAAGTGCAGATTGATTCTAGAAGTGGAAGTTTTCAAGAATGTGCGGCTTGTCAGACAAGTGAAGCAGCAACTCAAATGGAATGGTGAATGCTCTCGACAAAAGCCTGCTGTGACTGTTGGAGTGGACAAAGAAACACTTTGAAGGTTTCTCAGAGACAAGCTAAACCTCAAAGTTTACAACAAAAAAAAAAAACAGAATGTCCAGCTTTAATCAGATCAAAACATGAAGGCTCAGGTGAAAAAGGCAGGACTTCTCCTGAAGCGCTTCAAGAAAGGTTCACATCGCGACATCCTCTTTTCTGATGAGAAGATCTTAACCATTAAGCAGGCTCACAACCCTCAAAACAATCGTGTCTGGAGTAAAAATTTACGCTGCATGCCACCACATCATCACCTTGTCTATCAGATGCAGAAACCAGCTTCTGTGATGGTTTGGGCAGGAATTACTGCAACTGACAAAACACCTCTGCACTTTGTTGTGCTGCAGATCAAAATTAATGCCTCCTATTATCGAGAAGAGGTCTTAGAGAAGGTCTTATTACCCTGGTCCCAAGAGCACTCTCATGGCAGAAGCTGGGTCTTCCAGCAAGACTCAGCCCCAGCACACTAGGCGAAAAGCACAATCGAATGGAGCCAAACATTTTCCTGGCTTGATCACGCCAGGAGAATGGCCTTCCAGCTCACCTGATATGAATTCAATGAATTACAGTATCTGGTCCTATTTGGAGGCCAAGGTCTGTACAAAAGCCCATCAAACTTTGGTGGCTCTCAAATGTGATCTCAGGCGTGCATGGGATGAAATGCCAGTGGAACAGCTTCGAAACACCATGGATAATTTCCCAAAATGATTGAGGCGAGTTGTGGCCACCAAGGGTGGCTATTTTGAAAAGGAAATACTCATTTTTAAGGTTTTTTTCTTTAAATTCTCTTTCCATTGGTCTAATTGGTTTTGCTCTAGCTCTTCATTACAAAGAAATAACATTTTTTCTGGTCCAAGGACTTATGAGTCACCCAGTATAATGCAGATTCAGAGAATAACTACCAAATCAAGCCAAAGGCATGTAATACATGAGACACAAGAGGAGAGCTCCTTGTAATGGAAAATATGAAGAGTCCTTACCTCCAGAGGCAATATAGAATCTACTTGGGGAATATTTTGCCACAACTGTAGCAGCTGAATGTTCTGTGTAGATGTCTGACAATTCTGGGTGCTACATGGGAAAGATAAAAATGCAGGTTATACTACAAAGTCTACCGAAAAATATGCTGAAGAGCATCATCTGTACCACCAAGAAGACTGCAAAGTTCTAAGATAGCCATTGGGCACTAAATAGCATGATTCTGGAGTTAGCAATAATGTTTAAAAGTCATGACAGGCAAACATAAAAAAAAACTTTCCAAGCAACTACATTTTATTTTCAGTTAATTTAAATAGGCAAGTTCCTGCTCTTTTCACTTCATGAGCAATGTAAAAAATTGTCCTGAAATGAACTCACATAACAAATTGTCAGCTAAGAAAGACCAACTTTTTGCCCTCCTGGAGCTGCCCTATCACATAATAGGACAACCTCTGCCCTGTTTTATGCAAGTGCATTCCTTGACCTGCATTCTATAATTCTAGGAAATTCTTGTTCTGAACATGCTCCAGAGTGCAAAAAAGGTCAACACTTTATGTAACAAACTTGAAGGGACAGACTAAACTTGTAAGGAAAATTCATAATAGGGGATTCCCCATGTTTTACCAAAAAAAAAAAGGCCTGCTAAAAAAAATCTTATTTATTGCAAAAAAAAGCATGTTGTTGTCCATTCATGAAAGAATGTGAAGACTTAAGCACATCATATTACAAAAACAGAGCTCCTTCAATGTATGTATGTACCTAAAAGGGCATGCACAGTAGTATGTCCTTATGTAAGTGTAATAAAAATCAGACAATTTTCCAATACAGTCTATTCATCAGAAAAAGAGCCCCAAATGGTTGTCAGCCATACTCTTTCCTGGATGATTCTTCAACCCTTTATAAAACAAATGACTGGGAGCTCATAAAAAAAATTCATATATTATTTGCTGACTCCTTACATGCTATAACTCCATGCAAAAATTGTGGAAAATGTTATAACACCACAGCAATACCATAACAACTCAAAGGCATGTGTGTGACTCTTTTGCTCTAGTGGAAAATATTTAGCCCACCATCTCTCTCAGACAAAGCAAGATACAAGAGGTGGGAAATTATTTTCTCAGTGAATGATGTGAAGGGTGATCTCAATGGTCTGCAGTGCACTCAATGTTTGAAAAGTTTCAGACTGAAAAACAGCCAAAGGTAGTTGAAGACTTTGCCAGACAAAAAAGAATTCTGGACTCTGCCTGACCTTAAGATCCCAAGATTAAGACTGACTGACAGAGCTCCCTTACTTCCTGTCTACATTTATAAGTGGGCAGAACTTGCTTAATTTAGATATGAGATGAGATTTTCAGGAATGCACAAAAGAATGACTGACAGATACAGTAGATTTAAACCTCATAATATATATAACAATTTTGTTCTTTCAAAAAAAAAAAAAAAGACTGCTTAAAACCAAATAATTTTTAAATACATAACTTCATTATAGAGAATGTTTTCAACATGCATATGAATGAGCAAACAACCTGAAATTGCAAAAAAAAAGTTAAAAAAGGAAATTTGCTATATGAAAGTTTCTTATATCAAGCATTGACCATACATAAATAGATTTTCCAAGTAATGAATCTTCTGCCAAGTAATAAATTATGCAATACAAATATAAGTTACTTTTTGTCTTGCTCTCACAGTACAATTTTCTCCTAGATTTGCTTAAAGTTTCTCTCTTTTTTTTTCTTAGCTCTTTTACTAATAAGGCCACTTAATATACTAAAACCTTCCTCACTGATCTTTTGAAATTCAAGTCAATGAGCTCTGATAGTAGTTCATCTTAGTTTTAAATGACAGACATGTAAAAGATTAGTCATAATAAATAATCTAAAATGCTGATTCATTAGCAGGTGGAAGAAATCTTGATATGATCTTGAATAATAGGGGGTTGCTACTGCATACTTACAGCAATGTTCCTGATGATGACACTATTGCTATTGGTGTACAAGAAATTTTCTCCTCTTGGGTCACCTCCCAGCACAATTGGGTTGCCTCTCTGGGTCCTTGGCAATGTGGCAAATATGAACTCTACAAGAAAATAGATGCATATAATGAATCAGTCTGTAATCAAAACATTCACTGCACCAACGATAATTTATCAAAACAAGTGAAAACAAGCTTATTCAGTAGGCAGTGGTTATAATCATCTTATCTCTGGGGCAATGGCAAGGATTGACAGTTAGAAGGGAAAACCTTTTTCTTCCTTGGATCTTTATAACCATTTTTCACTTCTTCAGGATCTAATGAGAAGTGGTGGGAAAATGCTATGATCTACACCAGCACTTCTCAGGCACATTTTTTTTTTACCCTGAAGACCATTTCTGAACCTGAGTTATGGTTCTATCTGAGGAAAAGAATTAAGGAAATACCTACTCTCAATTGCAAGACAACACATTTAAATTTGAAAAACATACTTGATCTGGTGTGCCTCAATTTTTTTTTGGCACAAAGAAAAAATGTAATTTCAGGTCCACCACATTTCCCTCAGGAGAGGAGTGAATGAGTGATTCTGCAAAGTAAGAAGTTCATTTTTAAGACTCATGACAAGTTGACTTCAACATCTGGCTATTGAATAGCAAGGGAAAAGCCAAACACTGATGAGGCCACATTATTAGAGGCTAGACTTCCTGCTGATCCTACAACAACCTCTCAATGAATATGCACAATTTCCACATTTTAATTATGATATTTCTCAGCAATTACTTTTTTCTGGCATGATTTTGCTGAACCCTGGGGGTCTTGTTGAAAACCTATAGTTGAGAAATGCTAATCCAGATGAGAAATAGTAGGAAGCTCAGTTGCCAATACATACAATCTTGACCTGTTGCTTTCTTTTGCTTATTATCATATCCTTTCTTGATTGTTTGCTCTTCACTGATGAGTCATGCTTTGGGAACACTTTTACAAGATGCCTATTGAACTCACATTTACTTCGTCAAATCTCCTGTAACAGGAGTGCAGGTTGGTAGATCAGCCATACAAAAATGATTCACACAAAAAATGGGAACATTATCCATTATTTGTATGTACAAGATTCACATAATTATTTCCTTTCTTCAGCTTTTTTAAAATCCTCTTTTGCATAAATTTTCACATATTTCTATCCCCAGGATTAGTAACCTAGGTGCCAGAGCTAATCCAGGGAAGTACATTGCAGTAACCACTTCCTGTTCCAATAATTTTTTCAAAGCTAGAAATCCCATCCAGTACAGACAGTAACATTAGTGCATGAAGGAGAGCAGACTCATAACCAATATGACTCACTTTTTGAAAATGCCATTCTTCAGACAAAATTGTCTTAAATGCAGGTCCAAGGATCTTGAGCAGATCACCTCTTGATGGGATCTGATACAACCTAGGCTCAAATAGTGGTTCAAGACTAGTACTGCACCATTCACCTATGCAAAAGTATCCTGGATGATTAGGCCAGGGAATAGAGGCCTAGGCATATCCTGTGAAATTAAACGTTATGGATAGGCATGCAATACACTGGGCAAATTAATTTTTATGATGTGGACACTTTCATGGCTGCATAAATTGAAGTGCATCTATCCATCATTATGCATAAGGGATCCTCCTGAGATCCCAAGTATACAAATGTTGACCTTTTCAACAAAGTATCAGCAGTTATCTATGTAATCCTCACAGATTTGCAGTATGTTATTTTAACAAAACTTGTCTCAGGTTTAAGTGAAAATTTTGGCAAGAAATTTGAGAGAACTTTCAGTACTAGAAAATTTTGCGCACTACATGGTATCATGGCAACTACCAGATAGGATAAGTTTCACTGAATAAATTGGATTTCCACTTGTTTGCAACTTCTAAAAAAAAAAAACCCTCAAAAAGGCAAATGTTCACTTTTTCAGTCAACCTACAGAAAAGTGATACCAAATCACATCAAACAGAACATCAATCAAAATTATTTTAATCAAATACATGTTATGCATATTTTATTTATTTACTTTTCTGAACATCAAATTAAATGTTTTTTAATCATTAATTTGAATTTCAACGAAATTTTAAAATATTCTTAAAAAATGACAATAGACATCTAGTCTCTGATGGCCATGTACTTGAGTACACAATCAACCCCCAAGATAATGCCACTGTAGGTCATCAGTGATTTTAACACTATATCTAAAGTTTAATGCTACATCAAATTAACTTTATTAAATTATCAAATACAAACCAAAAATAGGAATAACAAATTAATATTCTTAAAATAATTAATAATATTAAAATAGGGTTACATAAAATTAACTACATTCCCTTTTACCATATTTTCCACTTATCTTCAACAGCCATGCATGAGGAATGACCCATGCACAAGTCACGTGAAATAGACTATATTAGCAATCATTTTTTCCCCCATCGTACCCATAAACCTTCTCCCATATGCACCAATGAGCAGAAATAGGTTGGCCTTGACTTCAAGCCTCAGCTAGCCCTGGTCACTTTGATACTCTGCTCTTGTGGGGTCCTTTGATCTCATAGTAGGCTTAATCCTAAATTACTATGGCTCCTAACTACATGAAACTAAGTTATGGTGACTTGCTAGGTCCTTGGTCAACCTATTATAAGTGAGAGGGGGGCTGGGATCCAATCTGCAACAGTTGTCTTGGAGGTGCAAACTGTTAACCATTGGGTTAGGCCTAGAAGCTCTAATTGGCCATCAAAGGGCAGATAGACCAAGAAGTGGTAAGTCTTGGCAATGAAAAAACCTGACATCACACTGATACATCAGGGGCAAACTCATCCTCAAAGGCAGAGTCAAGCTAACTGGTCCAGGCTTTATACACTATCACATGTCCTGCTATCGAGTACTGTTTGGCCAATGATAGGCATGGCCTAGTTTTAACCTGAGACTTAATGGTAGACCTGGCATGGATCCGTGGAATTACAGCGACTTGCAAACGAATTCGCATCACCTTAGACATGGGCTCCAGTGTGATTTCTGTCATGGGAGACATGCCCTCACTTATTTGGATGCACCATAAAATAAAATTGCATGATGTAAAAGGAGGTCCGACTCGCTGCGACAACAGAACGGCTGAACGTTTAATCCACCACTGGTCTGGTAAGTTAAGCCCTAGCCTACTTAGCCTAAGCTTGTTATAATGGTGACAGGACCAAGTTTAATCGAAGACCTACGAGATGTTCTGTTCGGTCAACGGGAAACATTCACAGTGTAAGCTAGAGCTCCTAGGCACCAGAAACGGGACCGGTGGCAGGATCCGCTCTGCACTACGAGGCCAGCGACAACAGGAACTACACGGGGACTGGACCCTCGAGAGCTCAGGGCTTGCGCCATTGTGGATGCCGGTCGGAATTGTGCCGTCGTCTGCTCCCGCTCGTGGGATGAATCATCCCCAGGGATCCTCTTCTGCTTCCGGGCGTTTCCTTTTATGGAATGCTGGTAGAGCGCGCCACAGTTGCGCGCAGGACACGCTCCTGTCGGGCAATCGTGCGTGTGGGGAAAGATATGTTCCTTCTGTTGATGAGCCGGAACCATTGGCATGCTCGTATCCGATTACCGGCGGAACAAGCAACTGTGGGGCTTTATCGTGTCCAAAAGTTTATGGAGTCACGGCTACGATCCGTTTGCATTATCACCGTTTCCTCCGTAACATATTTTCCAGCGCCATCTCCCCATAAAACTTAAAACGTGCAAAGGCTCCAGTTCTCTTCGAAGAGAGGTCGGCGACCGACTCACCTGTGATTTCTTGAGGCCGGTGAGTTTTCTTTCGTTGGCTGTGGTCCACGTTGGACCGGGAATAAGAAAAAAAAAAAAGGTTGCACCTTTTTTTCAGGGACAGTTGGAGCGGTTTCGGAAAAACGTGGGGCTGGAAAAAAAAAAACATGCAGAGAAACGTCAGGAATCCTGGAAAAAACGGCAGACAGAAAAGATCCATGAGCAAAAAAGGGATCGAGTGCGTCCCGAGATACATGAGGGCACTTCAGAACATTATCTTGAGAGCGAGAAATAAATAATACTAAACGTAAAAAGATATTGTGTTCGATGAAGTACCTGAGAGTTGATGCCGAAAATGGGCCTGAACCACGAGCCAGCGTCGGGGGACGGCGATCCTCGAGTTTCTGACGATAAAGCCTCTGGACTCGCATGCGAAGGGATTCGGAGCCCTGGCCTCGCCCCCGACGAGGCTCTTCCAGTGCTTCCCCGACGCGGCGGACCGTATCGAATTTCCGATGCAGCCTCTTCCTGTGGGGAATCCGTTCTCTCTCGTTCCCATGCGAGGGAGTCGCGTGATTTCCGGAAGGGCTCTCGAGGTTGGGTTGCGAGTCGGTGGGGCGCCGTGCCTCGAGAGCCGGGCGGGGGGGGGGGGGCTAGGGAGAATCTCGAGCGACTTTCCTGGACGATGAAGGGGGATCTGGGTTGGAACCCTGGTCTCTGGGGATATGTTTGTGTTGTATGCGTGTGGGGAGGAAGAGGGGGAAGGGGGGTTGTGGGAGGGCCGAATGGCATCTGGAGGATTTCCGTTCCTGCTTCTCTTCGGCATGCTGGAGAGCTCTCTCTGCGGACGCTGGAACTTCACCTGAAGATGTAAGACCGGCGTAGCACTGTCGATCCTGGAATCTTGAAGTCGAGTTGGAATAGGATCGCTTTCGCGAGGAGAAAAGTTATCGTGAGTCACCGGGACCCTAGATGGATCGACTGTAATTTTGGGGGGCTAACACCCAAAACCGCAGAAAAAAAATTTCCGACATTCGATGAAGCAAACGATTCGGTAGGGCAGAAGAACGGCAGGGTTGCTGGATGCGGTCGACCTTGATCCTGCCAAAATGCCGCTTTCATCTCGCAGGGAAGCGACACGTGGGCGATGCGCAGGTCGGAATTTGCAACGGAACGATCGAGGTGAATTTCTGCGGATCGCGAAACTCCGAACGAAAAGGCTTGCGATGCAAAACCAAGGAGGAACCGCGACGCGGGCGGCGGGGTTCGTTTCGAGTTCAACATTCGGCAACACTGCGGATCGGACGTGAGCATCTGTGATTATGGATATTCGCTTATTCTCTGCGGTTTCGGTAAAGCAATTCCCTGCGGTTTTTTACCTCGGGGTTTTTTTGGAAAGACCAGCCAAAGAGACGAGACGACAGGCTTCAGTCGCGGATCTCTCCGCAGGATCCGGCATCCGGCATGTCGCCGGTTCCGGATCTGGCGATGTCGGCCCGGGTGGACCTCGCACGGCGTCCACACCACGCCTTCACCTGTCGCATTCCGTCGCGAAAATTCGTCGTGCGTCGCAGAAACCGTCGCGTCCCGCTCCTGGATTCGGGGACTTCGTCCTCGCCCGACTCGAGGGGTCGGATTTCGAGTCGACAAGTCTCCCAGGTCGGCTCTTTCAATTACTATTTTTTAAATATTTAAATCAAATTTAAAGCTGACTCATTTTAAAAGTGAAACCGAGTCCTTGAAAACGAACGAGGACGATATCGCTTCGTTCCGGGAAGCGATATCGTCCACGATACTCACCAAAGGGAAAGCGATATGAAAAAGGACACGAAAGGGAAACCGGCCCCCTCGAAAGGTCAGACGTCCAGCCCCGCGAAGTGAAATGCCCCCCCCCCCTCCCTTCCCCCCCGATCCGAGAGGGGGGTCGACGAGTCGTCGCCGTGGCGATAGAGGAACGATGCCGTGGGATCGAAGGAAGAATCCGGGTCGAGACGCTCTGACCGACGCTCGGATCCGGACCCTCGGATGTTGGATCCCGGATGCCGGATGCATCTCTCGACCGGATGCGATCGTGTTCGCGCATGCCGATTCCTCGATCGTTCGGTGAGAACACCACCGATATCGCTAAGGAGTATAGATGACTCTACATTTTCTACAATTTAATGTCTGAGTGGAGCTGCTACTTCAACCCAAAGATCTCTTCCGAATTTCATTCGACAATTCGAGGCTTCGGGAGCCTCAGTACACGACAAACTCCAGCACGAACTTCCGACGCCGCACGCGAACAGGCGGCGTACCAGGCAGTCGACCGCATCTGACAGACGCAAGGCGAGCAGAACCAGTCTTGAACCACTTGCTAGAATGCTTCATTAATATGCTTATTTATCATGCCCTGACTTACATGCTTGTATCTAAGTGTTGCAGTTTTTTGGATCAGTCAGTTATTTCTTCACAATTTTAAATAAGATTAAGTTTGAGTCTGTGGTCTCAATGCTTATAGGGGAAGGGGGAAGAAGGCAGGCAGGGACGTATGGCCGTGGGGCAGCGTGGAGGGTCGTTCACACGAGGGTCTCGGCCAATGGAGGGCAGACACGGCGAGTCGCTCTCGAGCGTCGGCCACGTGGGACGGGGAGTGAATCGCTCGGCGCTTCCGCGTTTGCGATGTGACGGGTGTCGAGGTGTCGCGTCGTGGAGTCGGTCGGGTGAGGGAGACCGGGCTGCGTCGGCTTCGGCGTCGTGCCGACCTTCCCGAGCGTGTGATTCGCGGGAAAAAGCTCTCGGAATTCCTCGGCTTTTTCCCCCCCTCGCCTTCGAGAATGCGAAGGGAGTCCGCGATGGCTCAGCAGTTTCCGTCTCCTCCCGCGTGACTCGCGTCTCGATCGAGTCGAGCGAACCGAGCGACCTCCGTTTCGCGCTGGGCCCGGGTTCGTCTACTCGAGGGGTTCGCTCTCTGTTTGCAGGTGTGCGAGGGAAACGCGGATCATGGAATCGTACCTGTGCCTCGTGCTGCTCGTGTGCGCGGCGGGAAGTGCGAGAGTGGACGACGAGGACTTCGCGGAGGTGGCGAACGAGGAGCACGAGAAGTCGAAATACACGCGGGAGATGAACGAACCCTACAGCGAAGACGACATCTGGGAGTCGCTCAAGGACAACCAGATGCTGCTCGGCCTGGCCACGCACTACGGGAAGCTCTTCGACACCTTCAAGCGCGGCGATTACGGGACCGCGCTGCAGCAGCTGCTAGCCCTGTCCCACCCCAAGGGCGGGGCGGCGTCGACGGGGCTGCCGAACATGGCGGATCTGGTGGGGCTCGTCGCGTCCAACCCGGAGAGCATTGGGACCGCGATCAACGGGCTCCTCCAGTCCGAGTACATGAAGAACGGGCTGGAGCTGTTCAAGGGGTTCGACGAGAAGCGGATGGGGAGCGTGAGGCAGGCGCTGGGGCAGATATTCGGAGTCGACGGGAAGAACGCCCCGATGGAGGAGCTGGTGGGGCAGATGAGCCAGACCATCATGAACAGCCTGGTGGAGTCCTTCTTCAAGGGGGACGAGTCGAGGACGAAGAAAGAGGCCGAAGAGGAGATGGAGTTGGTCCGGGAGTCGCTCGAGGCGCCGGAAGTGCGCGGTCGCAAAGAGGAGCAGGAGGAGCAAGAGAAGCGGAAGGAGCGGGTGAAGGTGAAGCAGACGCCGCAGGGGTTCGGGATGCAGGATATGCTGGCGCAAGTGCTCAAGGACTCGGTGGTCGAGTCGTTCAAGTCCTCCGGGGTCGTGGAGGGTGTGCTCGGGTCTCTCCTGGGGGGCGGGAAGGGGAAGGGGGGATTCGGAGTGGGGCAGCTGATGTCGTCGCTCCTCGCGGGACCCAAGGATCCCATGCAGGCGAAGGCGTTCGAGATCGTGGGGAAGATCGCGAGCGGGTACAAGAAGACGGGGGGCAAGAGTTTCGCGGAGGCCTTCCAGTCGCTCAACGCCAAGGCGTTCGAGGTTCAGCCCGACGCGGAGAGGGTGGTGAAGAAGTACCGATTGGAGAAGAACTACGCGCCGATGCTGACGAGTCTGATGGCGTTGTTGAGCCTGAACCACCCGAAGGAGGAGGCGACGGCGGACGTCGAGTTCATCGCGGATTTCATCCGGAAGGAGTCGGAGAGCGGGACGCCGAACCCGATCCTGTCGGTCGTGAAGCCCCTGCTGGAGTCGATGGACCCGGGGTTCCTGAACGAGGGCGGGGCGGGGCTGGAGGGGGTGCTGCAGTACCTCAAGGGGTCGGACCTGGACTTCGACACGGTGAACGAGCACATGACGCCGTGGGTGACGTCGTTCCTCAAGGAGAGGCTGAAGGGGAGCGGGGAGGCGGAGGCGTTGGTGGATGCCTTCGACGCGATCAGGACCCTTTCCAAGGGGGTGGATCTGGACTCCATCGTGTCGGGCTTCGTGGGGGCGGGGGAGGGCAAGAAGAAGAAGAAGGAGAAGGCGGGGGGGTTGGAGGGGCTCGTTCAGGGATTGCTGGGTGGGGGTGGTGGGGGGGACTTGTTTCAGACGCTGCAGAGCACGTTGGGGAGTCTCAACCAGAACGGGTTCATGGAGGGGATGATCGAGTCCTTCCTATCGGGTCCAGAAAAGAAGAAGCAGAAGAAGAAGGAAGACGAGGAGTTGGAGAAGATCATGGCCCAGCACCGCAGCGAGAAACAGTCCCAAACGAAGAAGTCCCAACAGGGGACTCGATCGAAGCCCCAACAGGAGACCCAATCGAAGCCCGAACCGAATAAGAAGGCAGCGAACGTCACGGCCCAGTGGTCGGACGAGACACTCCGCGAACAATTCCGCATCTTCATGACGGACTTCCTCACCAAGTTCTTCTGGAAGCTGACGAAGGAGGAACCCTCGGACGAGGCGATCGAGAGCCTCCTGGACGCCCGGATCTTCCAGATCTTCGACCGGAGCCAGGTCCCGTCCCTCCTGCTGGACATGGCCCTGAGGCCCGAGGAGTACCAGGACCTGGATAAGGTGAAGGGCTTCGCCGAGCGCATCTTCCGCTCAGAGGAGATCCTGGAGCTCCTGAGGGCCGTGGAGGGCCTGGTGCAGAACGCGGTGGGGAACGAGACCCCCGAGGACCTGGTCACCTCCGTGATCGAGTCACTGGTCGCGAGCGACGTCTTCCAGACGATGGCCCGGGACTGGGCCCCCGCCCTGGGCGTACGGGCAACCCCGGACGAGATGAAGGCCGTCCTCAGGGACACCCTCTCGGCTCCGCTCGTCCAGCTGATCATGGTCTACGTCCGTTCCGTGGAGTCTCCCGACTGCGCGCCCCAGCTGCTCTGCAATTACACCCGACACGTGCATCGCCTCATGGACGTCGACACGTCCCTCTACTGGTTTGCCCACGTGTTCAGGGCAGGCGGGTAGGTGCACTCCAGGCCTCATCCCTCTGATCGAATGATTTCATACGAATTTCTATCGTTTTCTGTCGTCTTTCAGCGTCGCAGTGGGAGGCATCCTCTCGACCCACGTGGAGGGCATCCCCGAGTTCCACCATCTCTACTACGCTTTAGTAGCCGGAATGGCGAAACAAGACTGTCAACAACTTTTCCCCGGCCAGTGCGGGTCCCCCGCACCGGCCTCTTCTCCCCCCGTGCAAGACAACACTATACCAGGCACATAGGGCCTGTGTCACGCTTTCCTTCACAGTCCACCTCCCCTTCACCCCAGCAACATTTTGAAAGTGGTTATTTTTTTTCACATTCGCTTCCACCTCAATCTCATCCAATGTGATAGTTGAAGCGCTCCGAGGGACGTGGTTGTGGGCGTATGTCATGGTTTCATCCCGTTTCGTGTTTTTTGTTTTGTTTTGTTTGTTTTTTTTTTTCCAAGGGCGAATGTGCATTTCTGTCATCACTTCTGATGACATGCATCGTTGTTCATGTTTTTTTTTTTTTTTTTCCCTTTTTCTC